TCAGATTAAAGTTTGATCGTGCGGCGGAAAAATTAAAGTACACGGTACTCCAAGCGGGCGCGTTATACGAGGGGGCGCCATCATTAAAAGCACCTGACACACGCGAACAGGAGGGACGCGTGTCAAAAAAGTAGGAGGGACAGAAGGGATTCGAAACAGACGACTTTATTGCAGGAAATTAATGAGGAACCATTCAAAAGAATAGGCGGGAAACCCATCAGCTGGTCGATACCCAATGATGGGCCACCCAGAAGATCGATAAGCATGAACTCACTCTTAGATCGAGTCATTCAGACTCGACCAGAGTGGGGGGGACTAGATGATATAGGATAATATCTGTATAAAGACGGACCGATTTGGTGAGATGGTCGAGAAGAGCAGACCGGGAGCAAACCAAGCCGAAAGGCGGGAATCCAAGAGATCGAGCAGCCCCAGGGCTCGACCACACAAGCGATCGAACAACCCAAAGCTCGACTGCACTGGCGGTCAAGTAGCTTGACGCTCGACCAGACTGGTCGAGCTACCCATCAATCGATCAGATGAGTGATCGAACAAGCTGAGTGATCGAGCAAGCGGGTCAACATAAGCCCAGACGCGTGTATAGCAGACGCGCGTGAGGATCCCTGACTGAGCTTCAGGAGAATATTTACCCCATGTGCTGGGTGGACACGTGTCGACAAAGTATTGGGTGATAGCGATAACCACTTCTGACAACGCCCAAACGTCCCGCGGCACCTCTGACATGTGCGCGGCGTGTCAGAGTACGGACGGGCAGCTTGGGCAGCACACGTATCCTTATCCGGGCAGCTATTAGGGCAGGTATCTCACCCCTATAAAAAGGGGATGAGCCTTTCTTCCTTAACACATTCTATTCATTCTCTAAATTCCAGTATACTCATACACATACTGACTTAAGCATCGGAGGCTCTTCACCGGATCCAACCCCCGGTGTGAGAGTTATTTGCAGGTTCTCGACGTTCTACCGGCAAGGACAAGAATCGATCTACTCCAAACCGGACCCGGACGCTTACACCTGCATTAGATATCTTCATCTTAAGACCAATAATGATATAGTTTATTAAATTATATATATGGGCATGTTTGAAATTTTATGATGAAAAAATTATTTTATACATGGGCATGTGGATATTTATGAGTTGATCAAAGTGATATGAAAATGTAGTGCTAAAAGCACATGAACAAAAGTATTTCACATGTGATATATGATAGAAAATTATTTCTTATACAAAACTATTTATTTACTGAATTTAATTGTCCTTATATATGAGCATATTGACATGCGTCATTTTTACGTGCATTTTATAGTGATTTTCGTGTCTATATTGTCGTAATTTGATATATAATTATTTATTATCCAATTAATTGTTATATAATTATTTATTATTTAAAAATTTTTATTAAGCTATGAGGATGTGTTTTATTTTGAGTTTTGACAGAAAATAGGTTCAAAATAATTTACGGAGTCTAAAACAGTGAAAATCGGTTGAACACGGTGTGCGGGTTGTGTGTCAAAACGGACCCAATTCCAAGGTCCTATTGGAGGAAAGGAACTCAGCATTATTACAGCCTATCGGGCCCAAGAAACAGCTAGCAAGGCCCAAAATACCTATTATAATTTCCAGCCGAAAGAGCTACTTAAAGTGGAGGGCATGTTGGTCATTTCATGCATTTGTATTAAAAAGTAGAGACATCTTCATCTTCCTCAACGTCTACGTGAGATATGAGTATGTCCATGAGCAGCCATTAAAGCTTCGTCAAGCTCGTCACCAAACGTAACGCCACTGCCAGAAGCTTGAAAACCGACCTCTGCCACCTGCTATGGTCACCGAAGAAGACGCTTAGTGGATCTGCGAGGCCGTCGAGGAGCTGTTGCCGCCGGGCTGAGCGGGAGCTACAGGAACTTGCCATGTCCGACTACCTCGACGACGGGAAAGCTGCCCACCTACCACTTGTTAGTTTTATATACTAAAAGTTTCGCTTTGGATGATATTACACTTTTACCCTTTATGAATGAGAAACATGTTAGATTAAACAAGTTCTACGTTCTGTTGTTTTGCATTAGATAGTGTAGGTCATCATCGGGCGAAATGAAGATCATACTATCAGTTACTCGCGAAACAATAATTAAGGGTCCATAACCTAGATGGACATGATTTTGCACTAGTACATTTATGTATTGAACATGATCCCAGAGAGGAGCATTTCATTTTATACTGATCGCCGTAGACGAACTAGGCCTCGGTTAATTACAGCATGCTCTTAACCCGTAAGATATTAAACAGACATATATGTGTAGTATCTATTAATTTGATTCACATGGGTGAGGTTTAGTGAACTGGACCAATAGACCTTCTGTCTTGGGTATATTGCTATATGTATTATGTGCTTTTAGGATATTTAATGTCACCATGTACGTTTAGTTTGATGATGTCCCCGGAGTGAGTTCATGAAGGATTATTATACTAAACCCTGCAGGTGGATTAAATTCCGGCATAGTAAGAATGTTATGAACGAGCGCTAGCTTCGGTGAAATAATAATAAATTAATTAATTCTTGATTGTTAGTAATCGAATTAATTAATGGACATTATATCTTAAACTTGGAGAGATAAATCGAGTAATTAATGGTTACTCATTTGTAAATTGGGCTAGGAAAAGAGAGTGCGATAATATTATGTCGGTGGCCCATTTAATATTATTAAATTAATTAGAATAAGTGGGTTGACACACAAGTATTTTAATTAAATAAGGAGTTCTATTTCTAAACTCCTAAGGGTCCCTACTGTAGCTCTATATATATACATCATTAAGCTCATGGGAAGATGTGAGATAATCACAAATACACGCCACACGTCGTGCGCTCCATCGTCTCTCGCTCAGTTTACATTCGAGCTTTATGTTCTTCTTGTTGTTCCACCGAAACAAGTTGAAGAGGGTGTTTGAGATAGACAGTAGAAGATCCATAGGTGTTCGATACTCAGTGATCATCTACACGTAGTCGACGATGCACGAGCCCGAGCTCGAGGACCTTCGACCACCGCCGCGACCAGCCAGGACCAGCGATGCGCCACCGCCGTGTGCCGCACGTGCCATTCCCGGTGATCCGCGTCGAGCCCGGCAGCTCCGCCTCGCGATCCGCGCCTCGCGACCCGACCCGATCGATCCGACAAACTTGGTCCACACGATCTGATTGCGAGCCCGACCTTCCGTTCGTGATCCAATCCAGTTCGTGTGTTGTGTACGACCATCCGGAAGATCATCCAGATCGCCAAAAACTTTAAGCCGTAAGTTTTCCACCTCAAACCTTTAGATCCGCTGCGCATAGGTTTACGTTTGCTATTAAATTCGTGATTTGTACATAACGAGATCCTCATAGATCCCAACAAGTGATATCAGAGCACTTGGTTTAATTCGTTTTGTGCAAGTTCGAGTTTGTACGACTTTATTTGACAAGATGTGTTCAAACGCAACCATATATTGGATTATGTTCGCATAACTCGATTTTGCAGGAGTTAGTTTAATCCACTATTATGGCCAACTATGTATTTGATGAATGTTGTTGAATGTGATGTGTGGTTTAAAATTTTTTTTAAAGCCACAGACATGTCGAGGTATTTACGGATGAATGTTTGCAACAATTATTCGCCCGAGGGTTGACCAGATAGATTTAATTATTTGTTTAGAAAAACATGTACATCAATTCGTTGGATCTAGGATCGAATTATGCAGTTTTGCAAATTATATTTTTGGTTTTGTGATCGTGGATAAATTGCCTGGAGATCACAAGAGATCAACGAGCCTCGAAAATTCAACCAGACCGGAGCCCCGTGGACACTCGCAGCTCGCGCAAAATCAAAACAAAAATTTTCAGCGGCTTTTTCACTGGACCGGCAGCGGCGGCGGACAAGCGGCGGCAGGCTGGTGATGTTTTTTACTTGTTGGGCAAGCAGTACAATATCAACCAAGATTCTACTGCAGTGGGAGTTCCAGTTGAAAAAGGAAAGAATATACAAGGTTTACTTGTTTATGGGGAACTCAATATTTAATGGCCATAATAGTGGATTTATTTATTTAAATTAATTATTCCATTAGTTATTTATTTATTTATGCATGATAATTAATTATTGTATTTGCATGAGATTAATTTGGAATTGCATATTTATTTATGCATCTTCATTTATTATTGCATTCACATAGGATTAATTTAGAATTGCATAAATATATAAATGGTTAAAAATCCTCATTTAAATTATATTAAGTTTGAGAAGGGATTTTAAATTAAAGTTAATTGTAAAATTCCTAAGGCCTCCATTTCTAATTTGTTGGTAAATCAACTAATAAAGTATGAGCTTCCCCACGGATGACATCACTAAGATTAATTGTAGGTAATTACCAGAACAAGTTTCCAAAATTAGACAGTTAGAGGAAAGCTTAATTGAGCGTACGGGCCACCCCACGGTGGACGTATAATCTTTTTTGTCTGACCTCATGACCGAAAAATGAGATTCACTTAGAATGCGATTTATTAATAAACTCCTCACGGGGTCCCTGAATTTATTGCATGGCCAAATGGACACCGACTATTAATTTCGTTTGTCATGAATTTGGTTTTGACTTATGGATATTAATGGGCCTTTGAAAAGCCCTTCTCTTGCGAATGTTGAGTAGTAGGGCGATGCTTACTCACGGTGTTTAGAGATGTCAGTGGATTTAAGTTAATATTATTTTGATGATGTCAATATTAACAGTTAAATTCAAAAGTGTTTAATATGTAAAATTATTTTCGTGTTTCTCAGGCTATATTCATCATGTCGTTAAATCCGTTGTCTGTCCTTCTAAAAGAAAATCAACTTACTGACCCTAATTATACTGATTGGAAGAGAAAGTTAGACATTGTGTTGATTGCTAAGGGTTATATGTTTCCGATCACTTAGGCTTGCCCGGCAGAACCCAAGGCTGATTCTCTTGAGGAGGAGAAAGATGAGTATGCCCGGTGGAAGAAGGCTGATGAGATGGAGAAGTGTTACATTTTGGCATCTATATCAAATGTTCTTCAACATCAGCATCAATCTAAGAACACTGCGGCAGACATACTCATCAACCTCAGGAATCTGTTCGGACACCAGTCTAGGGCTGCTAGGCAAGAGCCTATTTGTGCTCTGATGACTACGCGCATGGCCGTGGGCACACCCGTAAGAGAGCATGCCCTCGAGATCATGGCATTGTTCAACGAGCTTGAGGTTATGAAAGGTTTTATCGACGAGAAAACCCAGGTTGATATTTTACTTCAATCTCTGCCGAAAAGCTTTTATCAGTTCCGGTTGAACCACAACATGCACAAGATGCATATGGCTCTCCCAGAACTTCTTGCAGAGCTTCAATCATTGGAGGCCTTATTCACTCAGGCACCTCACGTGTTGGTTGCCGAGCAGGCTGGACCTTCCAGGCCTCATAAGGGCAAGAAGAGAAAAAAGTCTACAGGAAAGGCAAAGGTGCAGGATGCGCCGGTTGTACTGCGACCGACCCCTCGGGCAGTGGCAAAGAAGCCGAAAGGTAGATTCCATAAGTGCAACAAGTCAGGACACTGGAAGGTCGACTACCATGTCCTCAAGAAAGGTAACTCTCTCGTTAATGTCATAGAAACATGTTTAGCGGTTGTATCTACCAGAACCTGGTGTGTAGATACTAGAGCCAGTGATCATGTCTGCAATCCTTTGCAGGATTCCAAGGAACCAGACGACTTAGGGAGAGAGAGATCACCGTCTACATGGGTGATGCTACAAAAGTGGCAACTGTTGCAGTGGGAGACGTTACTTTATCTTTTAATAGTAGTAGTTTGATTTTGAGACATTGCCTTTATGTTCCTAGTTTTAGAAAGAATCTTATTTCAGTTTCTAACTTGTTATGGATGGTTTTTCATTTACATTTGATGATATGTTTATTATTCGTTATCGGAAATGTTTTATATGTTCTGGTTCATTAGTTGACAATTTATATTTTCTTAAACCAAACTCTCTCACACTACAATAAACTGAATTGAATAATATAATGACTAAATCTAATAAGAGGAAAGAAATCTTTGAAAATGAATCAAGCATATCTTTGGCACCTTAGACTTGGACAGATCAACCTTAGGAGGATTCAGAAGTTAGTGGCAGTGGACAACTCGGTCCATTGTAAGATCACTATCCAACTTGTGAATCATGCCTAGAAGGTAAGATGGCCAAGAGGCCGTTTACGGCAAAGGGGTATTGGAGCCAAGAAGTGCTAGGATTGATTCATTCTGGTTTATGTGGTCCTATGTTGATCCAGGCTAGAGGAGGTTTCGAGTACTTTTTCTCTCTTATTGATGATTACTTGAGATTCGGGTACATTTATCTGTTGCACCGCAAGTCCGAATGCTTTGAGAAATTCAAGGAGTATCGGGCAGTTGTCGATAAGCTTCATGGTAGAAGTATCAAGTCACTTCGATCTGATCAAGGTGGCGAATACCTCTTTGGAGAGTTCAAGACATACTTATCAGAAGGAGGGATTGAATCCCAATTGACTGCACCTGGCACGCCCTAGTAGAACGGGGTTGCAGAGCGAAGAAATATGACTCTTATGGAAATAGTTAGGTTGATGATGAGTTATTCTAGATTACCTGATTCGTTTTGGGAAATGGCGCTGAAACATCATCGTACGTTCTGAACTTGGTTCTATCGAAGTCAATAGAGACTACTCCTTACGAATTGTGGAAAGGGCGAAAGGCTTTTTTTTTACATATTCGAGTATGGGGTAGCCCTGCACAAGTTTTAGTGTAGGAGGCTGGAAAATTGGAAAAGGGTTCAGAAGCACGAGTTTTTGTGGGCTATCCCAAGGAAACCAAAGGTGATTATTTTATATTACCGAGGATCAGAAGGTGAACGTTAGCATGAACGCTAGGTTCTAGGAAGAAGACTATATTATGAACCACAAGCCCACGAGTAGACTAGTCTTAGAGGAGTTGAGGGGTGAAGTCGATAGTTCCCCACCGAGTGCGCAAGTAGACACATCACATAATACTGCACCACGACACACTGAGAATGTACGAGTGCAAACAATACCTCGTCATAGTGGGGAGGTTTCTCATTTACCCGACCGATGGATAGGTCTTGGAGAGTCTAAGGGCTCAGTTTCAGGAAACCAAGAATCGGACCGAAGAACCTACAACGAGGCACTCCAAGATAAAGATGTAGATTCATTGAATATTGCAATGAATGCTGAAATGGGGCCAATGGACTCTAATCATGTTTGGGATCTTATAGAACCACCCGATGGGGTACGACCCATTGGATGCAAGTGGATCTATAAGAGAAAGAGAGGATCGGATGGGAAGGTGCAAACCTTCAAATCAAGGCTTGTTGCGAAAGGTTTTAAGCAGATTGAGGGTATAGACTATGATGAGACCTTTTCGCCAGTAGCTATACTTAAGTCCATTTAGATTCTCTTGGATGTAGCCGCTCATTAGATTATGAGGTCTGGCAGATGGATATCAAGACGACTTTACTTAATGGGAACCTTCAGGAGGCCATTTATATGCAGCAACCAGAGGGATTCATAGCTAAAGGACGTGAGCATCTAGTGTGCAAGCTCAATCGATCTATTTATGGACTGAAGCGAGCTTCGAGATCTTGGAACATTCGGGTCGATGAGGTGATCCAGGCATACGGATTCACTCAATGTTCGGATGAGCACTGCGTGTACAATAAAATCAGTGGGAGCATGGTGGTGTTTTTTGTGTTGTACGTAGATGACATACTTCTTATTAGAAATCTTAAGAAGGAGTTGTCAGACGTAAAGGTGTGATTATCTAAGCAGTTTGATATGAAGGACTAAGGAAAAGCATGACATATTCCTGGTATTAGGGTCGTTTGAGACCGTAAGAAGAGAATGTTGTGCTTGTCCCAGTCTTTATACATAGATACTGTCTTGGTCGAGAGAAGAAGTTTAGGAAAGATGGAGAGGAAGGGGGTCAAGGAGGCGAAACTCTCATGAAGAGAGAAACGATTTATATGATTTTGGGAAGGCCAACGGATGGTTACTCGAATAATTCCAGGAAAGGACATGCCCGAGCTGTGAAGAGGAAGAGAGAGGAGGTCGGAATCACGGCTCACATGCCAGTGAAAAGTTTTAAAGCGGAGGATGCTGAAGGAGTGGTCTTACCACACAACGATGCTTTGGTGATTACCGCGGAGGTTGTGGGTTTTAATGTGAAGAGCGTGTTTATTGATACCGGGAGTTCGATGGACGTGATGTTTTATGACTGTTTTGTGCAGATTAACAAGGAGGTGAACATGGAGCTAAAGCCAGTGGCCACGGCCCTGTACGGTTTCAATGGAGGTGAACTAATGCCGATGGGCGAGATTAGTTTGTCAGTCGCATTGGGGTCAGGGGTGATGAGGATGGTGCGGATGGTAAGATTTGTGGTCGTAGGCACAGAATCATCATACAATATCATTATGGGGAGGACGAGCTTGAACTCATTCCAGGTGGTCGTATCCACGTGCCACATGACGATCAAATATCTGGTGGGCAAAAACGTTGGTGAGATCGCAGGGGATCATCTTACCTCAAGGAGTTGCTATCAGACAACCGTGAGCAATAACAAGCAATTGGCAAGAAGGCAGGCCAAGCCGAAAGAAGAAGAGGTCACCAACCAGGCGGGTCGAGATCAAAGCAGGATAGGTTGAGGATAGAGAAGGGTAAAGAGAAGGTAGATATCCAACCAGGAGAGGAGGTTGAGGAGATCTAGATGGTCGAGGGATATGAGGAGAGGAAGTTCAGGATCAGGAAAGAGTTGGAGGAGCCAATTAGGTCGAAGCTGATCAGTTTGGTGAGAGAGTTTGCCGATATCTTTGCTTACACGGTAGAGGAATTGACGGGGATAAGTGCAGAGGTGATCAAGCACCGCTTAAACATCGACCTCAGTGTGAGGCCGGTGAAACAAAAGAGGAGGCACCGTGGGGTGGAGACGGATAAAATTATTGAGCAGGAGGTCGAGAAGCTGTTGGGAGCTGGGCATATCAAGGAGATTCAATTCCCGGAATGGCTATCAAATAAAGTAATAGTGTCCAAAGCCGAAGGGAAATGGAGAATGTGCATAGATTTCCGGGACCTGAACAAAGCATGCCTAAAGGATCTGTACCCCCTGCCCAGGATCGACCAGCTGGTCGATTCAACTGTTGGGTGTGAGTTGTTGAGCCTGATGGATGCCTCGCAGGGATACCATCAAATTCCATTGACGAGAGAGGACAGAAAGAGGGTGAGCTTCATGACGAGTCGAGGAACTTATTGTTACTTGGTGATGCCGTTTGGCCTGAAGAATGCGGGTGCCACGTATCAAAGATTGGTGGATAAAATTTTCAAGGAGCAATTGGGGAGGAATATGGAGGTCTATGTGGATGATATGTTGGTGAAGAGTAAGGAGGAGATGGATCATGTGCGGGACTTGAAAGAAACATTCTTGACTTGGAGGAGGTATGGGATGAAGTTGAATCCAGCCGAGTGCTCGTTTGGGGTGAGATCGGGGAAATTCTTGGGTTACTTGGTGATCAAGAGAGGTATTGAGGTGAATCCGGATAAAGTGCGGGTGGTAATGGAGATGAAATCACCAGCGAGTGTTAAGGAGGTGCAAATCTTGGCTGGTCGAATTGCGGGGCTGAGCCGTTTTATATCCAAAGTGGTGGAGAAGAGTGGCCCATTATTTAAAGAACTGAAGAAGAGCGCGAAGTTTCAGTGGACAGATGAAGCTCAGCGTGCATTCGAGGAGTTTCAGGGAGTGCTAGCTAACTTCCCTTGTTGGCAAAGCCGGTGCAAGGAGAGGATTTGGTCCTATTTGTTTCTATTGGAGAGAGGGCAGTGAGTTCGGTGTTGTTATGAGAAGAAGGGGTGGCACAATTTTCTATCTATTATGTGAGTAGGGTGATGCAAGGAGCAGAGATGAGGTACTCGGAGATTGAGAGGTGTGATCTGGCGGTAGTTGTAACTGCTCGAAAACTGAGACCTTATTTCTTAAATCATAAAGTGAGGGTGAGGACGAATATGCCGTTGGGAGAGACGCTCGGGCGACCCTCGGTGTCTGGTCGATTGGTGAAATGGGCAGTCGAACTGAGTGAATACTCGCTAGTATATGAGCCGAGAAGGGCTATTAAGGCGCAGGTGTTGGCAGATTTTATCCAGGAGGGCACAAAAATCGAGGAGTCTGGAGGACTATGGCAGTTGTTAGTGGATGGATCTGTGGCGAGAAGTGGAGCAGTATTAGGGATTGTTCTTGTTTATCCTAAGGGCGATAATTTTTTGATTTTGCAGCCAAGATGGGATTTAGGGTGTCCAATAATGAAGTTGAGTATGAGGCGGTGATCAATGGTTTGCAATTCGCTATGGATGGGGGGAGCCCGAAAGGTGCAAGTGCATTCTGATTCTCAATTTGTGGTTGGGCAGTTTCAGGAGGGATTCGAAGTTAAGGAGGACATGATGCAGAAATATTTGGATGAGATGAAAAAGTTGAAAGAAGAATTTGATTCATTCGAGCTGATACAGATCCCTCGAGGGGAGAATGGCCGAGCAGACTTGTTATCAAAGATTGCTCAAAGTTTGGTGGATTTCAAGAGTAGGAGTGTGACTCTGTTGTATCTGGAGAAAAGTGTAGTCGATGCGGAGGTGGTTGAGATTGAGGAGGTTGAGGATTGGAGGTCCCCAATCTTAAGGGAGTTGAAGGAAGGGGCGTTGAAGGTAGTAAAGAGGGTTTTTCAGCATTGAGGTATTCTTTAGAAGTGGTCGTATGTCGGACCGCATTTGCGGTGTGTGACTAGAGAGAGGGGTCGATACGTGCTGAGAGAGGTGCACGAAGGATGCTGTAGCGACCATAGCAAGTCGGGGGCCTTGGTCGCAAAAATTTTGATGGCAGGGTATTTCTGGCCGACGATAAAGGAGGATACTAGGGTTATGGTGAAGAAGTGTTTGCAATGCCAGAAGCACGACTCATTGATTCATCAACCTGCAGAAGCTGAGTGCCCCTATACCATTCGCCCAGTAAGGAATCGACCTGCTGGGGCCGATGTCACAGGGGATGGGGCAGAGGAAATTTTTGATTGTGGCAGTAGACTATTTCACGAAATGGGTGGAGGCCGAGCCCTTGGCAAAGATCACGGAGGAGAAAGTCATCAATTTCTTATATAACAATATTTGCTGCAGGTTTGGCGTGCCCAAAGTGTTGTTATCCGACAATGGAACTCAATTCAATGGCAAGCGGATTCGAGCATGGTGTGAGGATATGAAGATCGAGCAACACTTTGCTTTTGTTGCTCATTTACAAGACAATGGCCAAGTCGAGGTGACCAACTGAATCATACTGAATGGGCTGAAAACAAGGCTGGAAAAGGCCTCGGGGGCATGGGTCGATGAGCTAACTTCAGTACTTTGGGCATACCGCACAACCCCGAGGTCGACATCAGGAGAAACCCCCTTCTGTTTAGTCTATGGGATGGAAGCATTGTTGCCAGTCGAAGTCGAGCTATCATCGCAAAGGTCGAGCACATATAACCAAGAAGAAAAGAAAGATCTCATGACGACGGCTTTAAATACTATCGAGGAGCTACGCGAAAGGGCAGCGATCAGGGTGGAGGCGTACAAACAAAGGATGCGAGCAACTCATGACAAGAAGGTGAAAGTCCGTAGATTCCAAGTGGGTGACTTGGGTTGGAAGTGCGTGGATGTGCTCAAACACGTGGGGAAGCTGGAACTGAATTGGGAAGGACCATACCTGGTCGAGAAAGTGCATGCAGGCGGAGCATACTCTCTAAAGGATGCAGAAGGACGATCACTTGCCAGGTCATGGAACATAGCTAATTTGAACAAAAATATTATGTGTAAAATTTTTTCTTTTTTTCAAAAAGATTTTTGAAGTTTGGGCAACGATGTAACTCGCGAATCCTGTTTAGAAGTTAATGGAATTCAGTTATCTTTGGTATTACTTACTTTATTGCGCACCTTCATATGCTCAGAACACTGGTATGATTTGGATGACAGGATGTATGATATGGTTTGGTTCGGAAGTGGCTTGCTTTGAGCATCCCTTGGGGTGGGCAGGTTGGTCTATTAATCACGTCCTCGAGCTGGGTGGCCTCCTGTTTGGAATATTCCTCGCGGGTGGGCAAGTGTGAAGACCCAAACCCACCATGAACAAGGCCCTCGAGCTGGGTGGTCGCTTGTTTGGAACATCCCTTGGGGTGGGCAGGTTGGTCGATTACTCACGCCCTCGAGCTGGGTGGCCTCCTGTTTGGAACATTCCTCGCGGGTGGGCAAGTGTGAAGACCCAAACCCACCATGACTAAGGCCCTCGGGCTGGGTGGTCGCTTGTTTGGAACTTCCTATGGGGTGGGCAGGTTGGTCGATTACTCACGCTCTCGGGCTGGGCGACCTCCTGTTTGGAACATTCCCCGCGGAGGGGCAAGTGTGAAGACCAAATCTATCACGACCGAGATCCTAGGACCATGTAAAGGGACATGAGGACGAGAACGCCAGCGAAGCCATTGGAGCTACAAGTAAACTTTCGAGCCAGGAGACGAGTACAAAGGCATAAGTATGAAAGAAGAAATCCAACAAAGCATAAAACCCATCATGTCTAAGGCCACGAGGCTGGATGGTCGCATGCTTCGACCACGTCTGAAGGTGGGATGTGTTCAAAATTTAATACCCATCATGTTTAAGGCCATGAGGCTGGATGGTCGCATGCTTCGACCACCTCTAAAGGTGGGCATGTGTTCAAAATTTAAAACCCATCATGTTTAAGGCCATGAGGTTGGATGGTCGCATGCTTCGACCACCTCTGAAGGTGGGAATGTGTTCAAAATTTAAAACCCATCATGTTTAAGGCCATGAGGCTGGATGGCCGCATGCTTCGACCACCTCTGAATATGGGCATGTGTTCAAAATTTAAAACCCATCATGTTTAAGGCCATGAGGCTGGATGACCGCATGCTTCGACCACCTCTGAAGGTGGGCATGTGTTCAAAATTTAAAACCCATCATGTTTAAGGCCATGAGGCTGGATGGTCGCATGCTTCGACCACCTCTGAAGGTGGGAATGTGTTCAAAATTTAAAACCCATCATGTTTAAGGCCATGAGGCTGGATGGTCGCATGCTTCGACCACCTCTGAATGTGGGCATGTGTTCAAAATAAACCGATCATGTTTAAGGCCATGAGGCTGGATGGTCGCATGCTTCGACCACCTCTGAAGGTGGGCATGTGTTCAAAATTTAAAAACCCATCATGGTTAAGGCCATGAGGCTGGATGGTCGCATGCTTCAATCACCTCTAAAGGTGAGCGTGTGTTACGAATCGTATTGATAATGATTGATGGAAAGTAAGTGTGCAAACACAAATACATGCGTGGGAAAGGTGTTGGTTATAGGATAAGGTTCATCTCGAGCAAAGACACGTCAGGTCACAAGTTTCAGTTACCCAGTGGAACAGTTAGTCGAGATTAC